GGCACAGAATAAAACAATCTGGTAAAGTGTTGCATTTTATACACCTCCATTAAAGCTCTACTTTAAGTACAAAACAATGGCTTGACAGGTAATTAACCAGCGAGTGGATCTGAGCATCACGCCAGGAGAGAGCGACGGTTCCAGCCTCTGCATTATTCATTAAATCAGTCAGATGATCCTTTGAGGAGCACTTTGCCCTGAGCGTGGTGCCGAAACAGGAAGAAGAAAGTGCAATCTTCAGAGGAGGAAGAGGGCCGTATTCATCACATTGCACACACTACAGCATTGTTGGGTGGAGAACAAGTGAAATCTTCTGTGTTGCTTCACTTCCCTCTGAGCTGAGGAACATACGGTACTGTGTGGTGAAGCCAGATGAAGGCAGTATTCAGCATCAGTTTAAAGTGTGGACGCCCTCTACTGGAGGCCACTGGGAACACAGGGTTTGGGATGAAGACCGACAACAATGATTTTGTGTTCAAAATGTTAAGATATAGGACATTTGTAAGAGAATCATACTGTAAAGACTGTATGAAAATACCTAAACAGATCCCCGCTCTGTTTACTCACAAGTCTGCAGAAGTATCCATATTTTTTGTAATGTTTGCCGTTTCTTTTGTATTTATCAGTATGTCCATATTTACTACACGTGTATGCACAAAATAAATAATTGAATAAAATGGAAATACTTAAGTTTCCATGCATTTTGCAAGTCATGCAATAGAGTGCGTCTCAAGTAGTGAAGTGTTTGTTTGTCTGTTGCCTTTAAAAGAATACAAATGTCTCACGTGCATAAGACTTCAAACCAAATTGATTAAGTCGTCATCTCTTTTGTGTTTGTCAGAGCGTTTCCTATAAAATATTAAGTGTTTGTTTCTTTGTGCAGAAGTGCTAAACAAATATTAAATGCAATCCAATTATACGTTCAAGGCCTCCACTTTGTTGTGGCCACTTTCGCAAACCCTTCAACCTTGACTCTCTTATAAATAAATAGTGAGATAATCAGAAGTGGACAAAGCCACTCAAAGACTTCTGAGGAAATAATCAATAACTTTCAACCTCAGTGCTTCCTCTTCTGAGCGTTGGCTTCCAAGCAATGCTGCTGCTGACAGTCAGATGAAAAAGGCAGGAGGAAGCATGTCTACCAGACAAACTACAAGATAATCAATAGGATTAGCACACTGGCAAAGTAAGAAGAAATGCTGCATCTCAGAGATTTCCTACATATTTAATAGTGCCGTTAATATTTTTGTTTGATGTTTTAAGTTATGGTAGCCTAGTGTTTAATGATTAGTTTGGTAGCGGTCAAAGTGCATATTTGTTTGTATCTGCTGCTATAGAAAGTGATCTTTTATCATTATTAAAGGGAATGCCTTCAATAAGCCTAGAGGGTCTGCCTCTTTGTGCGTTGTATATCATTTGTTATCTTAATGGATTTAAAATGTTGCATAAAAGAAAACTTCAAGGGCCGTGAGTTTAGTTAGTAGAGCTGGCAGCCCATGTGATTGGGCTCAGGTTTGAATCCGGCCTCAGACATATTTGCCGCGACATTCCCTCCGTCTCCCCCTTTCAACAATGTCACTCAAATAAAGGCCCTGATGGTCCAAAAAAAATACTTCAATAAAATAACAGAGAGAACTTCAAAGTAACAGCAAGACATTGGCTCAAGTAACCAGATACTACAGAACACATCCTGATTGTACTTTGTGGCGTCTCTGACAAAGGGTCAAATCTTTTATCCAGATGTCACTATAGAACTATCCCAGTTGATAAATTACATTTTGACAATTGTTATTTAATAGAATAATGTTTCAACATGCAAATTCTTCAGGCACACATAGATAATGGTAGTAAAATAACCTAAATGTGTATTTTGAATGTTTTAATTTCACTTATGTAAAAGAAAACGTTGCTAAATGTTTAGCAAAATACACCAACCCTTGAATTGTGCACACACATTATTTTGTGGCTCTATTATTTATATTCTCATCTATTTTGTACACTATTTTCTATTACAATTATTCTCACATATATAAACGATTGCTTTCCTCCTTCCTGTGTGTGCTGTTGACCCACCTGCTAGCGGGTAATGACTTTCCATGACATCCAGACAAATAGAGTTTAACACACAACCTGCTTTCTCAAAAGCATCAGCATAGCCAGTCCTCTCCCCGTCACACACACTGTGTTCATCAACGATTCCTCCTCCACACTACCCCCCCCCAGCCCCCTGACAACAGGCTGGACCAACCCAACACCCAGCACACAATTATCAAGTCCATCATGCATTCACTCCTACACCAAACACTAAGCTTTAATGCTTTGTGACACAACATTTTGTTGATCCCCAGAGATGAAATGAAATACTGTAGCACACAGAGAAATAACATTTTCTCTCTCACTGTGATCATGTCTGCTTTAAAAACATTCTCATAACAGCATCCAGCGTGCACTCAGTTTGAATCGATCCACTCCTAATGTACAGTACCACAGCGTGTGCACTTAACCCTGCACACATGCCCTTTCTGTGTGTATGCATCCACTCGTGTTTGTCAGCAGAAAACTTTAAAAATGCATAGATTTGCTTTTTTTTCTTCAGGAAATGACAGATTGTTAGCAACACCAGATCCACGTATTACACCAGTAGACCCACTGGGATCAGGCATGAGGGCTGTAATCCATTCTGCCTACAATCTGATCCTACACAATCAACACAGATGCCATTTCAATTAAACATTCACTGAGGAAGGCTGGTAGACTGCAGTCAGCGGACCACGTCTGCTTGATTAAGCCGCATCTTGTTGTTTATGGGATTTTATTCTGAAAATGTAAGTCATACAAAAGTGCTTCAGTAATACTAGAATCGGAGGGATGAAACCCTCGGTAATGGGCACACATGCAGAGCACACAGCACACAGTGAAATGTGTTCTCTGCATTTAACCCATCCTAACTAGTAGGAGCAGTGGGCAGCTATTGCACAGCGAGTGAGGGGGGAAGGGGGATGCCCGGTGCCTTGCTCAAGGGCACCACGGCAGGGCCCAGGAGGTGAACTGGGACCTCTCCAAGTAGCAGTCCACACTCCATATTTAGGTCTGGTCGGGGACTTGAACCAGCGACCCTACAGCTCCCAGTCCAAGCCCCTACTGACTGAGCCACTGCCTGCTTGCGTCACAACTAGGGCCACTTCCATCTTATTCGACCCTGCCTAATTAAATTAGCACCCACCAGGTGTGATGCTTGGTTTGCAAAATAGACGCTGGTCTAGGAATGTTTGATTTCTGATTAATGCTATAAGAGGTAGTTTATGTTACTTGAGCCTGGTTTAAAATGTTATTCCAAAACTAAGAAAAACCCACACAATGCCACACTAAACGTCCTCCTTGTCTGACACCCAGTCCACAGTGGGTGATGTTAATGGCGCCTGATTGGTGGAAAAAGAGAGAGTACTAATTACTGAGGTACATTACTCATTTAAAATGCAAATCCTGAGGATATTGCGGTTTATTTAAATGCATCAAGTACCTATCAAAACAGTAACTAGTATCCTAAGCATGAATCACATGAGGATTTCAGAGCAGCAGCAACACACAGTCTGCAGGACTCACTAGAAAGTTCACTGGAAGCTTCTCTGTTTCAGAGCACACCTGAGACAATTAAGGTAGACCCAGGAAAGACAGACAATTTGGAAGAATCACTCAAACTCAGGACAGAAAAAAGCCAACATACGAAGTCTATAATCCTCTAATTCAATCCACACTTACGGTTGAACTCCCTGTGGCAGACATGAGGCCTCCAGGGTCGGTTTCGTATCCAGTTCAGGCGTCGGGGCAGCTCCATGATGCCAAGCTGGTGCCACAGGGTGCCGGCCCCTCACCCATCAGGGAACAGCCCCCCGGTGCTTCTGCCCGCCACAAAGACAGAGAGGCCCTGCAGAGCATTAGTGGAGCCGAGTACCAACTGAGCAGCCTGGACCTTTTAAAGCCAAAAACTCACTTTGTGCTGCACTCTGTGGCAGAGAGCTGTTACCGTAGCTGTTGTGGAGCTCGGCTGCATTTCCCCTGTGCTGCTTCATCTTTTATTCATGACTCAGTGGAACCCAACTCCCTCAGTGTTGGGGAGAGACAGACGCCGGACTCTCCCCAGGAACACTCACCTATCGACGGGCAGCATCTGAGGCGCAGAGTGCACACCCTGCTGAAATGTGATGCCTCTGCAGCGGGCCCCGGGGGAGGAGAGGAGGTGGAGGAGAGGAGAGGTGGGGCTTGGCCGGCCACCTGAGGAGGCTGGAGGGAGGACAGTCAGTCAAAGACACCATGGGGACAGTTTCTGTGTGTACATTCAGAAATACACATCAGTCTAAATGTGGCACTGTACTAAACGTACTCGTAAATCTACACCATGTAGGTGTTTAGGGTTTTTTGTTTTTTTAAATCTTTCTTCAAAATGTTCTTTTCAGAAATGTTTTCCATTATTTGTACTGCTTTATAGAAAATTACACCTTTTATCACGTCTATGTTTGATTATTTTATTATCTTTTAATTTATCTTGTTTTAATGTTTTTTGCAAAGTCCTTAATAACTTGATTTGAAAAGTTCTCTACAGATATGTAAAATAACTGTTTTTTTTATGTTTTATTATAATTTCAGGAAAAGCTCCAAATTAGTGTTGAAGGAAAATATTGAAATGATTTGTTCATAACACAAAGATCTGCCGTTTGCTATGAAATAAGATAATAAAGAAGGGAATATAGAAATACATTGTTAAACTTGCAGATAACTTTGGATAAAAGCTTCAATGCAGTTGACATAAACCCATTTACAAAAACATAAAAAGTACGTAGCGCTAAATCAACTGTTAAAGATCACACACTACAGTTTGGCGAGACTTCATGAAGTGTTACGAGACCATGACCTCTAGTGGCTGTGAGCCGCTGCCTTTAAGATATCCTTTGTCTCCACTTCAGGTAGAGCTCAGTGGATAGGAACATAGACTGAAACACACATACGGTACTTGCCTTTATTCAAATAAAAACACAGCTCCTTCCTGTCTCAGTCTGGGCAAACAAGGATTCCTCAACTGAAAAGCATCTCTTGCCATTAGGTTTGCCCATGTTCTGAATATAATAAATAAAAACAGTCAACATAGTAAGCACTTAAGACATACTCCCAACACAAATAACAACTTTGTCAAACATTACTGGAAAACACCCATTCTGTATTTGGTACCAGATGAAACATCAAATATATTGCAACATTCAAGTCCTGTGATGTGAGAGTATATCGGTTCTCAACATGACACTATGCATTGGATCACATTGAAAATATTCTGTATTTACTGCAGACATGTAGTTTTCTTCTTAACAACCTACACAAGTAGTAGTTTGGTTTAAATGATGACAGCGACCCCGGAGAAAGCAACATTTAACATATGCGCGTGTGCTTCTGTTGGCTGGTGATGAGGAAGTGAAGACACAATACATTGTTCAATCTAAAGCCTGATTATTATTCCCAGCTGAGAATGTACAGACCTTTACCTTGACTACAACATTTGAAGCTACTCTACTACCTGAAGAACATTTGGCAAATCCTGCAGAAATGTAAAAATAGGATTGTGCTTAAGACACAAGAAAATATCAAAAATAGACGGGGTCTTTGGCAGACCGCACTTACAGAAGGCACAGAGCGTTTATAAGAACTACAGTACAAACAAAACACTTGTTTCTACCTCTAATTCAACCACCTACATCTATATATTCTTCACTTCAAAGCAGAGACCTTTTGCTACAGGCTCTGTGAGCAGAAAGCGACCAGCCTGTTTAAGAGCTTTGGCTGTGCACGGTGGATAAATGGTCCAAGTTGGTGATAAATTCACAAGGCATAATTACAGTAAAATATCTCATCGGTGATACAAACTCTTTAAAACCAGTGGGGAAAAAGAGAAAGGTCATAAGTATCAACGTGTGCACAACAGCGTGGTTTGTTTACCAAGACATTATCCAGAGGAGTGACGCAGGCACCTAACGAGAAACAATCAGCTGTGAAATATTTAGAAACCTTCTTTTATATACCCATAACACTAAAAGTTACATTCCTCTCACCAGGGTGTGTTTGTATGAAAAGAGAGAACAAGATGACCAACAGCAATAACACAAACATGCAAGATGGACTTTTGAATGACACCGTTATAGCTGGTCCCTGGAAGTTTATATGAGCTACCACTAGGAGGCCCCAGAAATCAAGTATAGCCCTGAAGATGCATTCGAAGATGAAGGTCACAGAAGAAAACATCAGACATTACAAAAAGCAGGATGCACATAGTGACAGATTTATGACGAGCTTGTTCGAACTGCAAGAAATAAAAGCTTTTGGAAATAATCTCCTTTTTCTGAACTAATTATTACAAACCATCTTCATCTGTCCATTTGGTTGGAAATAGATCAGAGTAAAGCTTTCCTATGACCAAAGAGGTTGTACAATAAACATAGATGTGATGTGCAAATTCACTGCAGTATTTAGAGGTCTGTCAACAAAACACAATGTTGTTGGACGTTATCTGTCTGAGATGTATACACGCTTGCAAAAAAACAAACCTTTCCCAACAGGAATATGTTTACCAGTACCACACACACTGGCAGATGACCGGTGTGATGTTGATGCAAACCAATGAAAAACCAGAGAGCTCCATCATTGGGTTAGTAGATGAGGGGTTGCATGTAATAATTGTTCAACTTCTTATAATCATTGTTTTCGCCTTTAAATTACTTGATCATTCTACATTTTATAACATTAAGGGACCTAAAAGGATTGAAGGGGACTTCAACCTTTGGAAGAACTATCCTGTGATATTTGCGAGTGTTCATTTAAATAGGAGAATGTTACTCACAAAATGTTGCAAAGGTAACACAGGGTGATTAATACATATACAAATGGTCATTTTGGAAGGTGAAATATTATTTTAAAAAGGTACCAAGATTTGAACCATTGAGGCCTATCTTTTGCACGTTCACATGTGCTATAGTAACTCACGTCCTTAACACGAGATGAAACGCATGTAAGGTCCTTTTCAGTTCCACCCGTGTCTTTTTTCCTCAGCAGCCTCCCGTTTGTGAATCAATCACCTCAGGCATGTTTGCTGAGTCGATTCCTCCTGGATCAGGTTGTTCATTTCCATTTGTCGCAGCATCACCCTGAGGCTTCGGTCAGCTTGTGTGTGTGTGTGTGTGTGTGTGTGTGTGTGTTGCAGTTTATGGGCACATGTGTGGAGGGAACTTAACGGCCAACACTGCACTGCGTAAAGCATGGGAATGTGCTCAAGTTTCACTGAGTTAATCTGTACAGTGCTGTTTGTGGGGGGGGGGGGGGGATACTTATTAATTCCGAGTAGAATCCTTGTCCTTTTACCATATGGCTCAAATGTGAGAGAAGAGATGTGTACAGCTCACCTCTCCAGTTTCTTCTTCATCCTTCTTTCATTCATCAAGTTATACGGCTCAAAGCTTCCTTTGTGTTCATTCTTGTTATTCCATTCCACACAAGGCCTTTGTTGCTCCATCATTCAATCTTCTCCGGGTCTAAATTGTCCAGGTCGATATCAGGCGAAGCCACACAGCACATGCACAGTTTCTGGGTGTACAGAGAGATCCTATCTGCAGTGACAGAAAGAAAAAATCAAGGGTTTCACTCAAAAGATCTTAAGAAATACATCAAAAGACAACAATAGTAATACAGCGTTTTAGAAAAAAAGCCAAAGTACTTAAGGCTTTAAAATATGTAGGCTTCAAATAATAGTATTAAGAGGGGTTATTCTTCAACCGTAGGGGTTTTTAGCACTCAAGAGCCTTTTACAGAATGTGGGCGCTACATAACACTGAACTTTGAGACACTAATCCCAATCACTCCACAGTTATTAACTCTAAGACCAGGAGTTTTTACATTTTTTCATGTCCCAGCAGTAGCTGATCTACATGCAACTCACAGTCAGTTAAGTAAGCTACTTAAAGAGGTTATCCATACATTATATCACAAAACCACATTCACGGACATTTCCCATCTTAAATGTTATTAAGCAGCCAGGCTTTCTGCAGATGTCTCTTTGCCAGTATATTCTTTGGGTCGATAATTAAGACATTGCAGTACAGAATGTCAAATAAAGGTGGAGGTGATTTAGAAAATGTCTCTTACAGCTTACTCAGTTTGTCTACCAGAGAGCATTGAGTTCTCATCTTTAAAAATGTCCACCCCATCATGATTGAGTGTGTATTATGGGTAAAATAAATTACCATCGACCTACATACATTGTAATCGGATCTTTCAAAAAGCAATCCATCTTATCTGCTGGGTTTTTAATTCAATATTAATTCAGTACAATTTAGTTTTGTTTCTGAAAATTGAAATTGATTGTATTGTACTGGATGAATGTGCAGTTATTTATATGTTGATGCGTGTTTGATTTGTCTTTATAATTGTTAGTGTGATGAAATGCATTGGACTGTGATTGCTCTCACTGTTCCTGCTCACGGACTGCAGATAGAAATGAGTTTATAGTCAAAATAATCCTTTCTTTTTTTTTAGACAAATGTATTTTAAGCATGATCCTTGTTCATAAAAGTTCAAACTAATAATAAAAACATAATTCCTACAATTCAAATAGGGTCATTTGGCCCAACTGTGTCGTTAGTCGGAGCCTTATTAATCACTAAGCTTCTTACCAAGCATTTTATTGAGGAAGTCTGGTCTGGAGCTGGCTGGCAGGTAGATGCAGAAGTAGTACACAGGTGCACCAGACAAGGCCACAGAAATCCCCACCAGAGAGTTCATGGTGTCACTGTAGAGGGGAACAACTACCAGGAAAACGCTGCACAAGCAATACACGATGGGGAAGAACAAAGACAGCTGCAGGGCAGGGCAGGGCAGGGGAGACAAGAGCAAAGAAAGAAAGAGGAAGTAGAAAAACGAGGAATGAAGGGTATGAAAAAGGTTGGGTGGAGAGAAACAGAATGATTAAAAACCATTAGATTGACAAATACAATTAGTTCAAACAATATTCCTCTGATGATATGATTGTGGCTGTAATCACCCTTAACTGCTAAGGCAATATGCAGTGCAGTCATTTTTATGTTTACTAAGATAACCAAATAAACGTAAGTGAATTCAAAACATAAATTGGCTTTTAGGATAGTCATAACTCAAAGCCACGTCTGAGGGTAGTGTTGATGGGTAAACAAATGTAAATAAAGGTCTGTAAGGCTTGAATAAGTAAAGATAGCACCTACTCTATCAGATTGCAGCTTTTTGTATCCAATTACTTTTTATCTGATGTTTGTTTATGTTATGCCATGTATATCGTTTTCTGTTCAGTTCTATTGAAGGTTGTTGACGGTCAATGATTTGATGGAGAAATCACCAGGAGGATTTTTAAGTGATGTCATTATACGATACATTTGGCCAGGGGTTGCTCCGTTTACCCAGCATGCATCTCTTTAACAGGATTAAGGCAAAGGGGAAATACCTCGTTACATTTCTCAAGGTGTCAAGAGTCTTTTCAGCTGGTAAATGCTGTTCTCAAGATGTAGATGTCCTGTATTTCTCTTTTTAACATATCAAACTAAATATCTTTGGGTTTTGGATCAACAAAAAAACATTTAAGGACATTACCTTGGACTTTAAGAAACTGGGATGGACATTTTTCAGTATGTTATGTCATTTTATAGACCAAGCAATTCATTGATGAATCTAGAAAAATATGTGAGTATATTGATATTAAAAATCACTACAGAAATATGACTCACAACAATAACATGTGGTATAAACTGCATTACCTCAGATCTGTCAGTAACATTTCTGATTCTGTACTTTTTTCTGTGTCACTGAGTTGACATGATTACATGTTCAACTTCTCATCTCTGCATGTTTAAGGTATGTCTGGGAGGTGGAGTAAAACTAATTATGTACCTTAACAGGTCTGTGCATATCGGGAAATTTGATGCGAAGGTAGATCTGGCTGGCTATCGAGAGGCCGATGAACAACCAGTAGTTGAAACTGAAGTAGTTGATCAACTGGAAAACATCAGGCACGGACAGGTATAACAGAGACATGCCACCCTGAAAACAGAAGATCAAACACACAATTTGGTAAAGAACGCATCAGGGACATCCAAAATGAATCAAAACAAGCAAGAATAAAATGTAATAAGAAACCATGTGTGATACTGACATTGAAAAGCAGTGCAGGGATTGGTGTGAAACGCTTGATGTGGATCATGCACAGCACATTAGGTAGGTGACCTTCTCTGGATCCGACGAAAAACAACCTGCAGGGGAAACAAAAAAGTGTTACACATACTGCGTTTCCTCGAGTTCAACATTCAAAACCTTACAGGCAGTAATGAGATGTCTGTACTGACCTGGAGGCAGCGATGATGGAGGAGTTGAGGCCTCCGTAACAGGAAATGGCCACAGAGAGCGGGATCATCCATCGACCCCAGCCCAGCGCCTCGTCTGCAAACGTCTGAGGAGACATCCAACAGTTTCTCACTGCCCTCATGGATGTGATAGTGCGACTTTGTTATATGTATTTTAATCTGTGAAACTCAGCTCAAATTGTAGGTTTAATTACAATGTGCAAATCATTTACATTTATTGTTATCTTTAACTCAGTGATCCTAATACGTTAACATCACCGGGTGTAGTTGAAGGTCAGTGTGGTTCCTAAAAAAGAACACTCGCACTCTACTCTGCTTTTGATTTCCTACAAGACAAACAAAATACAGTAATAAAAAGACTCCTAATGCAGCAGCCCAGGCAATACCATAAATTATACCAGCTGTAAAATAAATTGTTGGATGCATGCGAGAATCTGTGCTTTTTCAAATGAAAAATAAATATGACTTAATCTCATACTTTGACTAGCGCTATTCTACACAAGATGAGAAGTCCTGGCGCCATTTCTGGGTAAGAGCTTAATAAAAGTGCAACTCAACAGCAATATGATATCTTGTAATTGAACTTAAAAGTTGATACACACTCTGAAAACTCAACAAAAGCTTTTTTGATTGCCAACACTTCTCTTGTTGAGCTTCAAAATGCTTGTGCCAAACAGGATTTACGTTAAAATATAATTAACTTCCAGTGTGGTGTTGAGTAGTGAATTAAATCACCCCTCTCTAATATCGGACAAATCTAGTTTTGGAAACATAAGAAAGATATGTGTTGTTCTTTCAGCTTTGAGAGAGCGAACAGCCCATGGCTTGTTGGAACAGACTTAGTTGATCAAATACCAGTACAACTCTTCCTCCTCCGAGGCACTAATCACATCATCAGCTTCCCCATGTTCCTGTGTGGGGCGCTAACCTCTTTAGCTAAATGAGGTTCCTGCCATCATCTCGACTCCTACAGGCACAGATAACTCCTGAAGCAGACTGGAGAGCCAGTGGCTGCCAGCCAGACTGAAGAGAAGACAGGAGAGGAGAGGAAGGACATATCTAAACCTGCTGCCTCTACAGGGCTGAGAGGATGCTGTCACTTTGGTCCTTTAGGTTTAAGGGTAGAGATTAGCATTCACATGGTCAGATTTGGTTACTGCTCACATACAGCCTCTTTTGTGCACAAGAAAAACTACTCACCACAGCAACAGCGTCACTGGCGAGCACTTGGTCTGCATCCATCACCACGTAGTAAGCGATGTTGGTCAAGATGTAGATCACAGTGACAATGGGCATGGAAATAGCAATGGACAAAGGCAGATTCCTAAAAATGAAATAAGTGATATCATTACCTCAATGCTTATATTTATTGACAAATACCTGGGGGAAGGTAATTGCTAGAACACACAAAAAACAGTATTACTGAAGGCTTAGAGAATCCAGATTATACAAATATTTGTATCTGTGAGTCTGTTACTGTGGTGTAAAGTGAGCGCATGATGACCTGGGAATTCCCAAGTAAGATGACTTAGTTTTGAATCAGATTTATGAAATACTAGATTTACAGTAGCTCAAGTTAAACTAAGCAAAAATAATTCGATCAGGAATTCAAATCAAGTCACGCTTATTGAAAAAAAAAAAAAATCTGAAATGCCAGAGCTCGTACCTCTCTGGGTTTTTAATCTCCTCTGTGATGAAGTTGAGCGTGTCCCAGCCTGAGTAGGAGTACAGGGCTGCGTAGAGGGCCATGGCCATGTTACCGGGGTCCAGTTTGGAGCCTTTGAAGGAGTCCTCAAAGTTCTGGTCGAAACCTACAGCAACATGTAAAGAGGAGTTAACATGATTTGCTTTTATCTCGACTAAATAGTTCATGAATATTTAATCCAGCTTCTAATATAGGTAGGGTTTTGAGTGAGCTGGTCAAAGGTCAAAATCAGAAGTCGTATAAAAATTGGAGCAGAGGTAGAGCAATGTTCACCTTTTTACGGTTTCTAAGAAATTGATTTGAACTGATTGTATGTATTAAACCATCTCCAGCATTGCCTAAATGGATTCAATGAAACAGATTTTCTCGGACATCCTACCTTGTCCAAGCTTAATCAGGCCAGTAATGATGATGACGATGAGAGCTAGGACCTTTGCTACGGTGGAGATGACCTGAAGAATAGCTCCCCATTTCACTTTCATACAGTTCACGAAAGTCAGCAGACCTAATAAAGACAAAGAAGACAGGAGCACTTATCAAATATAAACTCAACATGGTTTTTATACTGAATGGTGGTCACACGCAGAGAGGAGAACGTAAGCAGGAATTCAAATTAAAAGTCAAGAAGCTCTGGAGAAATCTGCTTGATTTATTTATTTTCAATTAATTGAACTGAATATTTGTGAATTGGTTGGATAGGGGTATTTGTAATTTAATGTATTAACTTTAAAATTCTGTTTTGCACTCTATATTTGTGGAAGGAGGAGCACTGATACAAGGTGTTGTGGGCGTTCAGGAACTAGTAAAAGGATTTCCTCCTTCAAACTGGATCGTCCTGTTGATTACAGAGTGCGAGGCCCCGACACACAGTTCCTTCCTCAGAGATCAGTCAGTACAACAGACTTGGCGCATTACTTTAGATCCTATCCAAACAAACCCAACAGGTTCAAGGCTGAACATAGCTTAAGGGATGCCATTCACTAAGCACAGCAGACTTAAGGCAGAGTGAGAGGGGAAACTGACAGGTATTAAGTGTAGTAGTTACAGACATATCCCCATAAATGCAATAAAAACAAAAAATAAATTAAGCTGCTATGTTTAGAAAATAGTGTTTTACTTTGCAGCTATTGATAAAGCTTCTCCTAAACCCACCCTTAAAACATACAACAGTTTGCAAATGACTTAAAAAGGGACTTGCATAAAAGGGTTAACATATACTATCAACAGCTAAGAGGAAAAACGCAAATTAAATGAAACCGTCAATGCAAAATAATGCTCATGTACAGGGTGCAAAAGAAAAGGCAGTTTCAAAACATGTTGAATACTGTCCCAACACCTAAACTAAGATTCATTTTATTTGAACCTGTGTTTTTCTTGAAAACTTTAAGGCAACAACAATACTGGACTTGAGATGGCTAACAGTTGCACATGCACTCAGCCTTTTAAAGTGATGCTGTGGGTAAATATCCCATTTGAAGATACATTTAGTTAATGCTGGAGCGCAAGAGAGATTCTAGTCAACCCTTCCTGCAAAAACAGCTCCACAGTGACCCTCCTCTCACTATGGATACTGTAAATAACAATATACGACATAGGGGTCAAACCCACAGCAGACTCACCCAGGTAACCCGTGTCCTTTCACCACTAATGTTAAAACACATACAAGAGGTTACATATGGCATGCACTTGTGTGAAGTACATGGAGAGCCTGACCTATGATGGCAGCAGCGATGAGGCGGACGGCGACATACGGGGAGGGGCAGGAGGGGTAGAAGGGCTGGACCAAGTAGTTGGCGAAGGTCAGGGCGATCACCGCCTGACAGGCTGGCTCCACTATCAACAGCGACGTCCACAATCTGCAGCAGAATGGATAGGTCTTAATCATAAAAAGGCTTACATACCCAACATGGCTTTAGTAAAGTTCACTAGTTGTTGGAATTGACGAGTGCTTTAGTTTGAGACTAACTTCCATGTCCAAAAAACATTAAAACAAGGCAACGAGTTCAAGTAAACTGTGTGCAAACAGAGAGATTAAAACAACTCCATACCGTATAAAAGCCAATAAGCCTCCAAAGGCCTCCAGGATATAGGCGTAGGACGCTCCAGATTTACGGATAGTAGTTCCTAGCTCAGCATAGCATAACGCTCCAAACACAGAAAATATCCCTCCAATGGCCCACACCACCAGGGACAGGCCATATGAGCCTGTATATTTAAGAACCCCCTGCAGGATGGAAAATCACAGTGAGCACATAAGAAACACTTATCAAAAAAGAGAACATGAAGATTTAAATAAAACATCAGATTGTCTCACTTCAGGTTTCAAGATGACCCGAAACCCCATTTTCTCAAAGTTATTCACTAAATACTAATTTCAGATTCAATAATGTTTAAATTATAGAATGCCTTTTAAAAATACAAAGAGTTAAAAACTATTCCTATTTTGTCTTTGCAAAAATATATTTAAATCAATGCAGACTGATTGTAGTAACAAAGCAGAGACTCTTACCTTAGGTGATACGAAGATACCGGATCCTATCATATTTCCCACTATGAGACAGACCCCATGGAGGAGGGAAATCTCCTGCTTCAGCCGCACGCCGCTGCCCTGAGACGCCGAGTCCCCCTCAGCAACCATTGTGGAGGATTTACAGCCTTCAGCCTCGACTCAGAGCAGTTTCTCAGGGACGTGACTGGGAGTGACAGAGACGTTCTACCAGCAGCGTAAACTGAAACCGGTTGAAATTGTAGAACAATAAAACACTGGTCAAAATGAAAAGAGGGGTGTACACCAAGAGAAGAAAGAGGGAGGTGGGAGTGTGACTGGAAAGCTAAGACTGCCTGTTTCAAAGAACCATTGTTGAATCCACAGATTAATTCTCCATCGGGATAATCTGCGAGGAAAAAAAGGAAACGCAATGTCACAGAAGTGCTTTACTCATCTCAGAAAATGTGCCAAGAGGAGATGGAGACAGTAAGTGATCCTGACTCATCATTGGTATATTACTCCTAATGGACACTTGGGGCCAGTAGGTGACTGCAGATGAGTAAATAAATGAGTGAGTGAATGGATTAAATGAATGCCTATCCAGATTTATGCTTTGCATATATGAAGCAGACATTAACCATAAACCACCCTGACTGAACTGTCGTTGAAATGGATTCTCTTCTAAAACAGCTGAGTGTCATAAGCAATGCCAAAAATATTGAGGCCCTTATTATTAACAAGCTAGATTAAAGGGGGGGCTATTGATGTTTATTTTAATCTAGATGAATAGCAAAACCTAATGTAATGGTTCAGTTACCTGATGTTATTGCAGCATCTAATACCTCTTTAGGAGCCACCATTATTGATTTGTAAAAACAATCGACTCGTACACATCTAATCCACGCCATAGCTGCCAGTAGCTTCTCACAGAAAGCTGATTAATCTAAACACTGGCTGGCCAAATTCAACCGCATTACATGAAGCCTGACAAGACATATTTGTATGCGATATGTAGTCCAGTGATTCTATCAAATTGCATAATTGATAGTGCCGTTTTAAAGAGGTTGTACATAAAAACTGACAACATAATGTACACCTTGTTGCAGGTTTTTTTTCCCATGTACTTTAAAAAAAAAGAATGTACAGAAAAAAAAACTGCACAGACTTGAGTTTCCACCTGGCCAAAATCCAATCGTATGCAAGCAAAGCCACCTAGAGATTTGGTCTGCTGAGCTTGCAAGAATGTATACATGATAAATACACATACACATAATTCTGCAACAACCTCAGTCTACACCGTCACTTCCCACCCACCACACATGTTTTTTCCATGTTTGAAAGACAAACAGAGAATCAAACAAATCACACTGACTAAACTCAACACGCCCCCTGATGAACAGGAAAGAAAACTAGGCCAAGATTTATGCCCCAGGACCACATTTTACACACTCTGGTGCCAAAGAGAAAACACTACAGTGACTTTTCTACTTGGTATCAATGTACAACTATTTTTCCTTAAGTGTCCTTACATTTTGGCCAAAGTTTTTTGTTAAAAAGGAGCTGAGGTTTACCATCCTAAATGTGTTTTAAAAAACTGCAAATTCTGTCTGTCCCTGTTTCCTGTACAAACACTAGATAAAACATAGCAGTAAAGGGGTCTGTGATGGACAAGCGCCATGTGTCCCATTAGTTGCTAAATGAAATTATGCTAGCATCTGTTCAGCATGGTTGAAGCAATATGGCTGCTGCAGTTAAGTGTCACTGGTTACAAACAAACAGTAAAAACAGAGCTCGGTGGAGGAAGTGATTCATTTGTCCACATTAACAACTACATTTGCTTTTTATTTTCCCCCTGTCCACAAATAAACTCGTGGGTGAGTTCATTTAACTATCACTAAGTTATTATCACGCTTGGATAAAGCTAAAACACAATAAGAAAACAGCTTCCTTTCACAAGTAAGGTCAAAGTTTATAACCTAACAGTCAGACAGCATGGGGATGTAAAACGTGGCCACGGACTTTGTGGTGGTCACATTGTCTCAAAAATAAACTGCATGTGTGTGCCGTACTTTTTTTTATCTTAACACTTATCAATCTAGATACGTCTATAGTTTCCAGTAACCAAAACACATACTCCTGTTATTCCGCTCCAAGACACACACATTTTCGCTTACTGTCAATGATTAGCCTCGTTAGCACCGGCCTGAAGCAGAGGATGGTGAGGGGACAGTTAACAGCCTTCAGCAGTGCACAGTAACGTTCACTTCATCAGCTAGCACCGGTATCCCTTTAAACCGTATCCATCCGCTGTGTGACAGAGCTAACAAAGCTAACAGAGCTAGCTGATGCTGCAATACATTGATGCTAGTGTGTGATGTCATGTTAGCTCACTATATGATGGTGGTAACACGTTAAGTTCAAGTCAAGGCATTTACCTACATCATTTTCAGACAGTATAGTGGAGGAAATAAGTAACCCCTCCACACACCACACAAAAAAACATGGATACTGTATAAGGAACTAGTTACCTATGTTGCGCCGTGTCTTCAGTTGAGCAAGCATCAACTCATGTGCCGCGTATTTTAACTTCTTCTACAGTAGTTAGTCCATAACATCTGCAGATAGCTCCTCCTCAACCGCCAAATGAGGCACCACCCACTGACAGACCGAGGGTTGTCCAGCTCTCTGACATTTAATCAAACAACCTGTAGAAAACGCGAATGTTTATTAAATTAGCTACTTCAAACATTGACAGCCATTGAGACAGAGGATACCATGGCCCACGCATAACTAGCAGCTGGTCAGCGCATTGATATGTGATGCGGTCAAACAGGTGTGCCACTGTGAGTTGGCAGTCGATCTATATCTGAATTTCCCCAAAAATAAATAGGATTTTCTTAAGAGTTTTATCTTCTGCTCTTACTGTATTTGTTATTTTATTTTCGTTTGTTAACCTGCACTATTTGTATTCTTCTGTATCTATATGTTCATAGCCTGATCTGGTTCTTGGTTGTCTTTTGTTAAGCAAGTTGTGTTTTTTATCTTGTTCCTCAACTTGATGTCAGGTGTATGTTCTTTACATTTCCATACCATATCTACAGCATTATTAGGCTTAAATCCACAACTAAAACTATTTTCTGGTTAATCAGTAGTGTATCGTTTTTTAAAGTCAGTTGCCTATACGAGCTGCTTTGTTATCTATTCAAACAAACCGTTTGATAAGGTACATGCCGTTGGAGTTGGTATTCACTCTGGTGGAGCTTTGCGTTTTCTCCCCAGTCTATCATGCAAAGATTCAGTTCTCAATCAAAAAAACACTATGGCGACAACCACGAAAATACATGTGAACTAAAGTCTGTCTTGCTGAATGTCTGTTTGAATGGAGCCTAACCTACATAGAATGATTGAAGCAATGCTTTGTAAGAGTTTTTTTCCATAGAGCCATCTAGCTCATATAACCTGAGATTTGCTGCCACCTAGTGACATATTTTCATGATTTCACCCATTTATTTGGTAGGTTATGATTTGATCGTTAGTGTTTTCTGCATTTAGATTAAAACTGGTATGATTTTGCAGTTTGCATGGATTATATAAGATTTAGGCTGTAGGCGTCATTAAATATTAAAACTGTAATTCTGTACCAACCTGATTCTCTTGATTTGCACCACTTTGCAAAGCCTCACATCAAATATAAATGAACATGTTTTAAAATAAACAATGTGTGATGAAATGTTAATGTGAAAAGTCGGTTTTTTTATTTATTTTTTATCTTTTAGCACCATGGACAGAGCTTTTAGCTGATCTGCCCATCACCACAGAAACAAAGAGGGAAACACCCACACTGCTGAGGACCTGCACTCTCCATTTCAATGGGACATTGGATTTGTCAGGCCTTTGGCTAGGAGGGGCGCGTCAAGGGAGTATGGTAGCTAATATGCTCTAGGTGGCACATAAACGCTCATTACTGACCCAGTGTCAAGCCAATCAGATTATATGTTGACAGTTCCTGTTGAGAATTTCAAAATAAAGCATGTTAAGGTATGTCGCATTTTAATGTAGACATCATGTTTGAATGACAATTTGTTGGTCAGCTTTATTATACTGTAGGCCTACTACAAAATACAAAAGTGCTATTTCATTGGCAATCGAGCTGGAAATGCGCATGTGCAAGGATGCTCAGTGGAATGTATCTTGAAGGATGTCAAAGCTAAATAAAACTAGCCTACATTTAAATAGCTCTCTATATATAATACTTAAAAAGGTGCTAGTAAAATACAGACTGTTTGCTCCTCCCCACATGCCCCTTTGCAACACATTACATCTGAAACTAACATTTGATTCCATTTGTCAGTTACGATGACATTCAAAATATCAATTTCTCACATAGATGAAACGAGGAAATCGTTTTTCATTTTTGCCTAAAAACGGAAATGATGATGAAATAGCTGCACATTAAGATATAATGGTCTATTAATTGACTAATTGCCTCAGATTGAAATCATTATATGTTCATATTATCGACAGGAAACTGTCAATCCATATTCAATGATGGTGTGGGTTTTAAGTCTTTTATTTTGAAAGCTTCTTCTACTCATTTCCGGTTTTGTTTTAGTTATTGCCCGCTGACTTGACGCAGCTCCTAACAGACCACCAGGCGCACCGGCAGTCCCCCTCTTTGCTGACTCAGTGCCTTACCAGCAGTCCCTTCACACCGAGATACCGCATCCAGCAACCGACGCACTCTCCTCCGGTCGACTCGCCCAAGGCACCACCAACCTACAGAAATGGCTAAGACTGCAATCGGTGAGTTTCTGACATTTTTTCCTAGAATAACAGCATATTCGCAGGTTTGAGGGTGCTGATGCTGTGGCGACACCCATGGCACAAAAGGATGCAGAGGCATGATTATAGGGAGCGGCCAAAACTCCTTTGCAAGTCACTCCTTTTAAATGAAGTTGCAAAATGAAATAATCGTTTTTCTCTTTTATCAATCTGTGTATTAAGAGTCACGTATGTGCCTATTACTTTATCCTTTATCAAAATGAGTGCCGATCAATATGAGCTAGTTTGGATTCAATGTTTCGTATCAGTGACGCATTTTTCTAATTCACTCAAAACTCAAACAAGCGAATAACAGTAAATTAATCCATATCAAGACAAGAAAGGCGATTTTTATTTCCCACAGACAGCAGCATTTTGTCGATGCCTGCCTGCCGCACCTGACTCAGAGCCGCGCAGCAGCATAATGCAGCGACCCCACCCAACATCTCCCGTCCCTTCAAAGCTCTCTCCAGGGTGTGAAATATCTCACCGTGGCAAATCTTCTTTTTACAAAAACCGGGCCATGCTATGTTCTGTAGTATAAAGCCGGCTCAACCAATTTTGTGACCGCTAAAGGCATGAATGATAGAGAAAAGAGCATCCTTTTTCCAGAATTGCTTTGCAGTCGAGGGAAGAATTTACGACTGGTGATGAAAATGAATGTCATCTCAAGAATATCAGACCCTAATCCTATTAGGAGGGTTATATTATGGCCTTTTATGTTCAATCCTTGTATTATCACTGAGGCTTCAGTATTATGTGAGTGTATTTGCTAGAAATAAAATGTGATTGAATGTTATGTCAGATGGAAGGCCCTCCTTTCCACATCAAGGCTTGATATCTTTTTTATTTATGTGGAGGATATTATTTGAACACATCACTTCACAGGCCCTATAAACACTGGATGGGACCTGCAGACTTCATCAAATAGAAGTCTAAAATCTCATCTGACATTAAGGAAAGTGTGCTTGCTTCAAGGGGTGTGTATGAAAAGTGCGATGTGCTGGCCAGTCTAGGGGATAGACTGTTTGTTTTATGGTTGACTAGGCGTGTGATGAATGGAGGGGCATGCAGACAGACAGCGGTAAAGGGTCCTGCATGGTGTCTGCGCTGAGGGGCAAGTAAACCCTGACTGGTATATTTATTCCCCTCTCCTCCTCCTCCTCCTCCTCCTCTGCCTCCTCTGTCTCCCCTTCTCTCCTCCATGATTTCAGGCGTGGACAGACAGAATGGGATGGGCAGGAGCACAGACACTCAGGGGGAGAGCAGTCAACCTGCCAGTCAGCACCGGCAGGTCGTCGAGTTCATGTCGGCTATAAAGAAACACAGCAGTGCTTAATATTTTTAGAATCAGAATCTACTTTTTCACACTTCTGAGACAGAGGAGCAAAAACACCTAAGGGGCAATACACATAATTAAATTAAGGACTAAAGGCAGGACGAGTACACCTTTGTTTATAGGAATTTCATTTAATTCCTGAGGATGTAACTACATGTATCGACTATCCCAGAAACAAACTCATGGTCAGAACCACTCCCATGTGCATTAAGGCCCCTGAGCACTTCCTGATCCTTATCACGTACACTTGTCACACCCAATAAGGTGTGGTCCTTCAGCTGGTCCCTAAAAATCAATTCCTTTGTGTACAGAGACACAAGCTTCTCAGCCTCTTGCACCATCAATTTCAAGCAACTAGTCTTGTCCAAATCCAGCTACATTTATCTACTTATCATCTGCATCACAAATGTCGTTATGGCCCCTCGTGCATAAAACTCAAAAGGCTCCTGGGCATATAATTCATGCTGATTTATCGCAGAGTCTCATCGATCAATGCAGCGCACTGACTCCGATTACTGGTCCAGATGACCATTGCTCTTTAAAACGAGTCTGAGGAAGAGGTGATATCAATCCAGTGACGGTGGCATACCAAGTGATGTTCTCATCACTTGCGACATCTGGATTAGCAACCTAGTTTGGCAAATTTAGATCTTCAGGTGTTTTAAACAGCAGATTCTGGATGTTTCACACAGCTAGCTCTATTGTACGCACTTTCAATTCACTGAGCTGGAGATTAAAGGATTGGTTCAACAATCAATAAGTTGTTTCACAGAAATGTTATAGGCACCTTGCTATAAAAAAATGTTAATGCAAATGTGCTGTTTTTTGGTTTTGTGTCCAATGAACAGAATATTTTTTGAGTTTTGTCCTGATAGTCAGAAAAACAAGATGTTCTAAGACATCACCCTGGGCTTTAGGAACCTATAAGTGCAAATATCAGACATTTTATAAACCAATAAGATAATCGATGCATTGAAAATGATCCTTAGTTGCGGCCCTACGCATGTAACAATGATCTCCTTGGAAGGACACTGGGTGGGGTTTAGGGAACATTTGCCCCAGCCCATCCCTGCATCGAATGACTGGACCTGCTCCTGATCATCTGGGTACCATATTGTTTCATTTTATGGCCAATTTCGCTGTGGTAATACCTTCATAATTGTGTGATTATATAGCTGTCGGGTGGCACAGCTGTTAAGGGCCTGTATTTGCTGAACACAGAAACAAAGTCTATACTGCTGCCAGCTTATAGTAGGACCCAGGAAGGCAGTAAACGCTGTGAAACACAGAGCTGCAGTTTGCTGCTCAAAGCCTTGTCAATATTATCTTTCCTACATTTTTCACTTCTGCCTTTTTGCTCAAAGTGACTCTATTGCCTGTTACATTTTGTATAGAGGGGGTTGGGTATTTAGCAGAAGAAGAGGGTGGGGAGGAAGAGAGAAATAAAGATACCAAATAGAGGTGTGGTGGTTTTCTGCTACGCAGTTTTGAAGCTCCCAGGAGATGTGCAGAGTGGAGGCAAAGAGAGAGTAAGAAAGAGGAAATTGTGTTTGAGAGGGAGAATACATCAGCGACAGAGGAAACGGAGGCTTGGGGATGCAGAAGGTGCTGGGGAAGAGGGATGCTTGCGGGGGAGGAGGTAGAGTTAGATATTGATGACCTGCGCTCTTTGGCTGATGGATTGGAAGAGGTAGTGCGTTTGCTGGCTGCGTGTCTGTGGTCGGGACAGGAGGAGCTCTTTGAAAGGATGCATAGCTGACTAGTTCAAAGCACATGTCTGTAGTGGAGGAGAAGCATTAAGCGGTGTCATGGTGGTCTGAAATGATTTGGTCACATCTCAGATTGACATTTCTGACCCAGCATGTCTGTAATCAGTCGGTATGTTTGAACAGACACCGGTGTTTGCTCACTTCCTGCTGTGGAATGTCATTTAGGATCATTTGTCATTTTTATGTGCCTGATCCGCTGGGAATGAGCTTATTACTACAACGGTTATAGAAGGAAAATACATTTTTCTCTCAGGAGAAATACTGAGGCAATTTCATATTTTTGCACAATAGAGGATCTCATATATTTTTGATTAGGGATATAAAAATAAATCTTCCACACTCTGGGTTAGAGAGCTGTATTATTTTACAGTGCGTGCTTATCTTCCAAGAAATTCAATTAGCTCTCACACAGTCATAAAAGCTTAATCACCAGCAATATACATAATATAGAGCTGCAATCTTATGTCAATTAATCATATCAGTAGATTGTCAGAAAATTAATTGCCAACTATTTAGAAAAAATATGAATCCTTAGTCAAATAAACAGTTAATGGTTTTGGTTCCTGAAATGTGAAGATTTGCTGTTTCCAAAACCAGACATTCATACAGTATGAGCTCTGGGAAAATGTGTAGGGGATTTTCACAGTTTTTTCTAATACTGTCGTATCAACAATTAACCAATTAATCAAGACTGAATTAACGGATTAATCAATTAGACTAGAAATCTAATTCTAGATGAAAACATAATTGAACACAGAAAAGGCCTCTGCTAGAACTTGGCAACCGCTGAACACTGCTGTTCTGCTCCATGAGCACTCAACCCAAATTACCTGCTCCACTGAATTGTTAACTGTTTGACTCTTCAGCTGTCAGGTGAGGTTGTTTGTGGTAGGAAAATGGCTGCTGGGTCTTGACATATACACAACACTAATGAGCCTGTGACAACCCTCCAAAAGCTCTGTTCCCCCATTTTGTCAGCAGAAATGGTGTGGTCCACTAATTACAAATGTAAGTGCCATCCACCTGAGGTGGCTGCCATTAGGCTGTCCTAGGGGCACTCGAAGGCGGCTGCAAATCCCACTGGGAGTTTCCTCCTTTCTGGTTTTAATCCTCCTGTCTGGGATTCTGGTTTATATTAGCAATGTGTTACACTGACGGTGAAGCCCCACCCCAAAAGCTACATATTTTTTCCATCGTTATCCGCCAGCAATCTTACTATTTTCTGTTTCTTTACCAAACTCCACTTTTATCTCCATTCCCACTCAACCCCTCTCTTCCTTCCACTATTCCTCAGTTTTGTTTTAACCCATCCCACCCTCCCGCGCTTCCTCCTCAGGGAAGGGGTTAACAAGGCCATCAGAGAGTAGTGAGAGCTACATCTGAGAGTTGATCACATTACTGTGGCGTCTGCCAGTCTGCAGGGCAGAAAGTGAGACACAGAGAGAAGAGGAGGAGAGAGTGAGCAGGGAACGAGTGAGGAAGGAGATTTGGATTAATCAGACTGTACACCACACCCCCCCCCCCTATGGAGAATATCTTTTACAGTAGATCTCATTTAAGTCTTTGCTACTGAAGATCATAAATCACTGTGGCACGCTTCAGCCCTGCAGGCTGTGCTCTGGGTGATGGATCATTCCATAATGTGACAGTCTGCATGCAAATCACCACCATGAGGCAGTGTACCTTTACAGAACACAGCAGCTATGTGCAAAAGCAGAATATTACACAAGCTGCAGTGCGATATATTTGCCGTTCTCCCTGTAGGGACTGCTGCTGAACTCTGGGCTCAAATTACAAAGTAGTAGATGCCAAAAATACAGGAATAAAATCAAGGTTAGACAAGGTTGGTTGTTCCTTTCTTCGCTGCTTTTTCACCGTCTGCCCTTTGGAGCACTTTGCCCCTCCTACTGAGAAGGGCGCAGGTTGCCAAATACAACAATTTGATTTGATGCCAGCTTTGCCTCAGTGTTATTAACTTTTTGGACCATAAATGGATCAGGGGTAGAGAGTCAAATTGCTGAGTATGCTGCTAAGAAAAGCCACAGAGAGTGTAGACAAGAAACAACCCAAAGACGATCCTAACATCTATCCTAAATCCTGGATTCTTTGCTTGGTAAATACCCCAAAAGGCACAATATGTTTTAGTGGTAGCTACAGAACGCCTGAGAGGCAATAGGGCGTTGGTCTGACAATGTTAATAAATAATAGACCAAAATGAAATGCATAGCTAATGATGTGTGGAGAATCCTATGGGGAGAGCAGCATCTTGGCTGTTAGGGAAATTAGGCCAAGTGAGGACACATCCATCCTGCTGTGAAAACAAAGGCCAAAATGCCCCAAAACCCAGAGCAGCTCAGCTCCTCGAGACCCCCTTTGATGGGGTTCCCTTTTTGGAGAACTCCATGAATATTTATTCCTCCAAAAATCTGGATATTTACATGAGGAACCTCCTGTGGAGAAGAAGTGGGTTAATGATGTTTCATCTTTTTGTATGTTAGTAGGTTAATGATATTTAGATCATGTTTTTCTGCACTGAGCTCAGTCATGTTTAAATATTTTCCTCCGCAGCTTACAAAGAGAAGATGAAGGAGATCTCAGTCTTCTCACTCATCTGCTCCTGTCTGTACCCCGAGACTCGCAAAAACCTCATGGGGGATTTTGAAGGTACGTGAATTTATTTTATGTTATTTTAATAAACATGCTACAATAACAAGTCATGCAGAGGCTCTAAAGTTTGATTTGAATCGTCTGTCTTTCTTTTTTGTTACACACATGTAGACTTGGACATCAAGCCCATTAACAAGCGGGCCTCAGGCCAGTCCTTTGAGATCATCCTGAAGCCGACCTCCCCCGTGTCTGAGAATGCCCACTGCATCACCACACCCCCAAAGAGGGACATATCCCTGGAGGACATCCAGAAGAAACTGGAGGCAGCTGAGGATCGGAGGAAAGTAAGTGTGTTTCCAATCATTATCTTTTGCACCCAGCTGCCACCTTTCACTCTGCTTGAATAAAAGACACAGAAAGCTGTGAGAAGATTAAACGGAAGATTTTTAACCACAATACCACCGCTAGTCATTAAGAAATACTTGACTTCCTTCGTCTTCAAATGTCACGTACAGCATGGATGTTTGGTCAATAATGCGTCACATTGACTACTGCGGCTGCAAAACTGACATGAAAACTCTAATCTGACACCGGCTAATTCCTGCATCTGATTGATTTGAATGTCAATACGGTCGATACCAGCAGCTGACAAATCCAGCAACCCACAAACAAATCAATCATCCAATCAATGACACAATTTGAAAAAATGTAGACCAGATGTCCAATACTGTGGGTCAAACAGCATATTATTTTTAATTAAAGTGACGACAGGAAAAAGGGAAATACATTATCTTACCTCTAGAGATTTTCATGCCTAGCATAAATGTGTGAGTCTGATTAGTTTCAGCAGCTCTGACTCTTAAAAGCTTACCTTTTAACAAAAGGTCGACGAGTGGTCTTCAGTAAATCACTGTTTCTATCAACCCCTGCTCTAATTTACTAATTTATTTTGCTGTTCTTCGCTTATTTTTCCTTTCAGTCCCAGGAGGCGCAGGTCCTGCAGGCCTTGGCTGAGAAGCGTGAACACGAGCGCGACGTGCTGATGAAGGCCATGGAGGAGAACAGCAACTTCAGCCGCATGGCCGAAGAGAAGCTCCAGGTGAAGATGGAGCAAATCGAGGAGAACCGGCAGGCTTACATGGCTGCCATAATGGATCGCCTGCAGGAGAAGGTGAGGAGCATTAACCAGCCAGATACTGAGGTCATAAAACCAAGTCACCTCTTCCCCAGAGAAGCAACTGGCCAGACACCAATAAAGAAAGAATTTAGGATTTCTGGACTTCATTTAAATGTCCAATGATATTCTTTTTTTCAGTGACTTGTATTAATAGCAAACATAAGCTAATAATAAGTTCCTTCGTTCTGATTTCAACTAATATTTGACTACGACGACCTCAGTAAATTGAGAATCTTTTAGGGAAGACTTAGGTTGGACAATGATTGAGTCCTATGCTTGGAAGGTAGGAGATAAAAACATACAGTAAATGAGCGGGAGAAAGCAGGACAGGAGGCAGAATAAAGGAATAAAATGTCTTAAAGGTTGAAGAAATGAAATGGTGAAGAGTGCAGGAATAAAATGTCAGGAAAGGCCCTGAGGCAGAGAAAAACATGACACCTTCAATCTGTGTTTTTCTTTCTAGGAGAGGCATGCTCAGGAGGTGCGCAGGAACAAGGAGTTGAGAGAAGAAGTGACAGCGTGAAAAGCCCCAGGTTCTACGTCCCACCTCCAAACCCGCCCCCAACACCACCACCCCCAATCCTGAGGAACACCCCTCTCCCAACCTTGTCCCACATATTCCCACCTACTCCACCCCTCTGCCATACCCCCCCCATACAAATTATGAAACTACCACCGCCTGAGACGCCAACCCGAGACAGTGGGAAGTTGAAATGGGGTTCGGGATAAAAAAAAAAGCGTAAAGAATTTCGGAAAAACAAGAAAAATGTGTGTCTCCAACCCACTCTTCCCAAAGAGAATGTTTTTGCTCCATTTTCAAATGAGAAAAAAAAAAATCTAATTGACAAGTGACAGTGGGTATTGGTTTTTGTAAATACTTCTTTTTTTGTTATATACAGTAAGATACAAGCAGCAAAAGTATTGATTGCAGTGTGCCATTTTTTCTATATAAGTTTCCTCTCCCTGCTTATATATGGATGTAATAATTTGTTCATTGACATGTTGGGTTTTTTTCTTCATTTCAGCCTGAAAATCATTTCAGGCGTAGGTGTTTGTTGTGAGTTTGCCAGCTAGCGGATGTTTACTGCGACTGGTTGCGTCCTCACAAGGCCCGCATACTGGCTCCGTTTCCTCGTCCCTCTAAATGGGCACTTACTCATTTGACCCTGCAGATTTGGAAACAAAATTGGATCTGTTTGGTCCGAGTGATTTTCCATCAAGTTTAAGCCAATGTCCCAAATTAGTGAGGGGACATGTGCAGGGAAAGTTGGCAGAAGGAAAGGAGACAGTTTGCTCTCCATGGGGACTGCAAGCCGTCGCTGCTCATCCACTCCTGTGAGGTAGATGGTGATGTACCACAGGAGAACACTATAGCATTTAATGAGCCCATCCTCATCCTCCTTCCCTCTGTCTGCAACCTCTTCATCTCTCCACATACAGTACACACTGTAGAAGCACTCACTCACACGCTCTCCACATGGGCAGGCATTTAGCCAATCATAGCACAGAGCTCAAGAGGAGCTTGCTAAATTCTGTCCATCTGGCACCGGAAAGCTCACGTAACATCCCTGACCAATGGCGGGCCTCTTATGTTCCTCAGAAAACAAGCTTGCATTCACATTTCAATCACTTGTTACTGTACTATACAACACAACTGAGGATAAAGTGCACTCAAAGACAGCCGGAGTGCAAAAAAAACCTTCACCAGACTGTGAATCTTAAATCGGAGAAATTACAAATAAATTCCACCTTTCTCCCTTTCATAGAGGCTAGAGTAGTGCCAACATCATCCACGCCTACTGGAATCATTGCATATCACTCCAAGACACTGTAAACGCCACCGAAAGGTCGGCACAAGAAAGATATAAAAGCCATAACAGGTATAGCTGCAACTATGATAAATGAACACAGTATTGCCATCTGTAAAGGTGTACATGAGTGTATTACTAAGTATTGGAATGACGGTCACACACGCACGGTAGGCCCATAGATGTGTGTGAGTGTGTGTGTAATGCAGAAAGGGCGGGTGGATAACCGATTGTTTGTGCCATGTGATAATGACCCGGTGAAGGATAAACCAACACCGTAACAGTGTGTAACAACAACAACAACAACAACAACATCACAGACAGAGACTATCCTACCTGCCTCTCTCTCTCTCTCTTTCTCTCCTCTGTCCATTTGTGTGTTTCCCCCCTCTCCACGTATATCTTTGTGAGCAAGCAGTGGTTAATAAAGATTTGGGGTTCAGTGAATGAAACTGGCTTTGGGTGTGACTTCTTTCAGATACTGTCAATTACTGTTTCAAGGTTAGCATTCAGATAGAGTCATTTGGTTTCTTGATCATAATTATAATGTATTGGTTTAACCCTAAAAGGATTGTGCCTTGGTTTTCATTACATTATAAACATAAAAGAAAATAGTAAGAGAAAATATAAAAAAGAAATAGAAGCAAGTATCAAGAAACATAAATAAAGAGTAAAAGAAAATGTCAATACAAATATAAAAAAAGACTGCTACATATTCAGTTAAATTCTGAAATTCTGACTGATTAAAACTAGAAGTGGAATTAACTTAAGCATATTAACATTAAGTTAGTGAATAAAAATAAGTTAATTCCACTAATTTACTACATGATGTTTTCCGGGGTAGTTATTGGTTATTTGACGCAAATAAATGTGCGTTAACAAAGTCAATGCCTGAATGGTGATTAAACACACATAATAATATGAAACAGCCTACTGTTTAAGTAGTGCAGCAACTTCTGATTATTTTAAATTATAAGTTTGTTCATTAATTGGTTAGTTGTTTGGTGAATAATTAATCATCTGAAAATATTGTCAATTTTCTATCATATTTTTCCAAAGTCAAGGATGTCTTCAAATGTCTTGTTTTGTCCAAACTCCAAGATATTAATTCGACTGTCAGTTTTAAAATAACTCAAAGCAAATAATCGATGATACAATAGTTGCAGATCAATTTATTACTTTACAACTAATCCATTCATCTTTTCAGCTCTAGTTTAAAGGCATCGTTCTGAATAATTAATCGTTTTACTTTCAGTACTTTAAAAACGTTTGAGGTTAATGCCAGGCTTTTTACTGTAACATATTCTTACATTGTGTTATTGCTACTTAGTAAAGACTGGCAGTTAATCTTCCAAAAGTGTCCTTTGCCTTTTCAGTTAAAGTCCCAGTAATGACCAGCAGGGGGAGACAAACAGCAAGCTATCTCAACCTAAAATCTCCTTGACCTTGTGATTTTGGCTGCAGTGAAGCTTACATCACCACCTGGCTCTGCATCATCCTCAGTAATTAAATAAAAAGGTTAAGTAGAATGACGAGAAGGATGAAATGGGAAAGAGAGAGTGTACACTTTGTAAGAATAGATGAAAAAAGCAAAGGATATTTTGGCGAGTGAGTACACTTTTGAGGTGACGGCATGAAGGAGCCGAGAACAGAAGGTGCAGCTGGTGCTGGCTGAAATGATGGCAAAGGGACAAAACTGTCTGCACACTTCCTTTCTCACACTTTTTTTCAGTCCTCTCCCTTCTTTGATCCCTCTGTCCCGTTTTTTCTTCCCCCTTTCCCTCCTGATCCCACTCCATTCTCCATCCCTCCTTCCTTTCCTTCTCTTCCAACCTTCCCTCCCTCCTTCTTTCCTCCTCTTCTAGTTCCCACGCAGCACATGGGGCCAGCCGGGCTGCTATTGTCCAGGATATCCCCTCCTTGTTAATGGTTTCCTGTGCACACACGGAGGGCTACTGAGAGAAACAAGCAGCCGCATCTGATACCAGGCGTCACCACGTATACGGCACACACACACAACTGCAGGCATTAATAAACACACACTCTTGAACAAACAGACATGAAAATGAACAAACACATAAAAAGGACGCTGATAAAGCCACAGGTGATTTAACATAACTTTTTTTATTACAGGGAAGTTGTCATTACCACCAGCAACAACTAATATTTGATTTGTCAGTGCTTGCTTGTGCTTTGTACAACCATAAAATGAACAAACTCAGTGACAGGAGAAACCAAAACATCAGGTGTAAGACTAAAGTCTATTGCCTTGCAACTACTGTGACAGATACAAATGAGCTCTGTTGAAAACACAGGTCGATTATGCTGCTACTTTGAACAGGAAAACAACTTGTTGACAAGGTAATAAAAATCACCCAAGCATCATGAGAAATTACAAAAACAGAACAGCTGGTAGAAACTCGTGGAACATATGTGAAGTCTCAGTTGTTAAGAACAGGATTTACTGTAGAGAGGAAACATTACTTAGGGAGGAAAGCTTAATCAATAAGGCCCCATATGAACAGGGGGTTGTGGGTAAATCTTGTTTATTTGAACCAAGCTGGTAACTAACTTCTGTTCCAGTATTTAGTAAAACAAACACCTGGTTTCGGTTATTCCACCCCATTAAAATGCTGTAGAAAGGCGGTGACTCTCAACCACCTCAAGCCCGCCCTCCCTCCACTCCCCTCCCCTCCCCTCGCTGCATGTAACCAGGGCACCAACACAGGGTTTTTCAGCGCAGGGGGAAAACAAAAGGGGGGGCAGTTTCACCCAGGAACTTGACGGGTGGCGCCTGCTTGACCATCTGGAAAAGCCATTCCTGATAGGCTGACAACAGTGGGTGAAACATCTGAAGGGGTGTTCAGGAACAGAGATCAATCACAATACATCACTCTGAATGCTTTTAAGTCGTGGTCTCCCTCCTCACTGTTTTTCTCTTCTATACAAAACTCAATACATTAGGAAGAAAATCCTACAGCTAGGAGTATCCTCTGCAGGATGTCAACATCATAGAAAAAAATATTACTTTCTTAAATTTGGAAAATATAAAGTCTTGTCTTTGAACGTCCAGCTCAGCTGGGTAGTGAGTAGAGTCTGTGTGTAGATCGAGTGGAGCTTTTTCATCTCAGTCAGAACGCTCCTATCTCCATGCCCCAGGGTCTGTAGGGTTTCCCCACGCTGGATGTTGGGATGGGGGCGCTGAGGGCGGAGGAGGGGGACATGATGGGGAAGGCGCTGAAGGGGAAGGGGAACGCTGAGAGGGTGGAGAGGAGAGGATTGGAGAGCTTGGACACTGATGAGGAGACCAAGGCAGGGTGTGTGAGGGTGCTGGGAGCCCCAGTGGTGGGGGGGACCCGGATCTGGCCCTGATCTGAGTGAGGGGTGCCGCTGCGTCTGCCTGGGATGTGAGAGTCTGCACTGGACGAGGATGAAGAAGAGGAGGAGGAAGATGTAGATGATAGAGGAGTTTGTGGGCTGCTGGTGGCGCTGCGGGGTAAAGGTGCCAATGTGGCCCCCTGCTGGTGCTGGAGGAGGAGGGGGTGGGTGAGGTGGGCAGGAGGGGACCCGAACGCAGAGCCCCAGGCTAGGTGACTCAGGCCGGAGTGAGCCTCTCTCTGACTGGCGTAGTTGTTGAGGTGGGAGACCAGGCGGATACGCAGAGGGTCCGCACCGTCCAAGCCCTCGATGATGCTCAGATAGCGGGCCGTCTCAGCCAGGCACTCCCTGAAACCCAGACCACGGTAGTCCATCGCCAGCGCATGAGCGTCAAAATAACCTGAGGGCAGAGGAAGAACACAGCAGATTAGTTTAGAGTCTCCTTAGCTGCTACAAAACAAGTTTGTCCTGAACTGAGGGATCTTTGTCAGTCGTGAATCAATATGCCTCTGGCTCTGAGAGTGTGAAAGAGTCAATAATAAATCCAAACAAGATGGACCAGTTATTATCCGTTTTCTTGTATTCATCTACATGTCATTTTGTGCTTTTTTCCTTCTCTTTAAGTAAGAGAATAAAGTAATGGTTGTCTATTTTCCCCTCTTAAGCATATGAATAATATGTGGAAGGTGTTTTTCTGTAAAAATAATGGATCCCAGACATACCTTTGCCTCCAGCAGCATGAAGCATTTTCAGATGGTCAACAGTCATCTGCAGAATCTCTGCTTTCTCCAGTTTGGCTGAGCCCTTCAAAGGAGAAAAAAAGGAGCCAAATTAGATATCATAGAAATAATATTAATATTGTTACGCGAGCATAAATTATGTTCAATATTTTTGGAATATAATTATAAAGTTTATTTGCATATGGTCTAAAAAATAAGTAAAGTCGTGTTGCCTGATGCTTACCTGTTTCTCGAAGGCGCTGGGCACGAGCCTGCGCAGCTCGCTGAGGCTGTTGTTGATCCTGTCACGGCGCCGTTTCTCAATTATCTGAGGAGAGACAAAACATACAAATTATAAGTTTTTTGCAGAATACGTGCATTTGGACAACATGCTCAATATTTTAAACTGCAAAAACTGCCTTTTTCAACAAATAAATGTACTTACTCCTCGACGCCTTTTCCTCGCCTGCACCTGAGTAGAAGTTGAGGGCGACATGGACCCGAGGGGGGAGCTCATGTTCCTAAAAAGAGACGAAACAGTCAATACCTCGTAAAGTCTACCTTTTTTGTCATTGAAGCTACTTATTTTTGTTTTTTTGTTTAACCCTTTCGTCTGTCCAATGGTCTGAACCACGTTAAAAAATAAGCAAACTTACCCATTCTCATCGCCACTCTCCTTCTCCACCTCAATAGTCTCGTCCAGCTCGCTGTCCGAGGAACTAAAATCGTGATTCCTCTTCATTTTGTCGGTCCACAATAGTCCTACAGTGTGTCTGCTTGTTCTGTCTTCCAGTAGTGCGAGTGTTCACGTTTGCCCGGAGAGCCTCTGTTTGAAGCACTCAGCTTTCCCACGGTGTCATTTCAATGCTGGAGCCGACCTATGGAGGCGGGGCCTCGGGTCAAATCAGCCAATCACAAAGCGGCCGTGGGTTTGAGTGACAGCGCAGTTGGCCCAAACACATGCAAGTAGGCTTTGACAAGTCAGAGAGGAGGAAAAGAAAGAGACATCTCACTCAATGGATATATGGAAGTTTTTAAAACGTGTGCCCTATGGGCCTAGAAACTGTTCTTGCCATCCATAACTTTTTGAAAACTTGTGAAAAGTTTATATATAGAATATACACTACAACTTAGTAAGATTATAAAGACATTTTATAATTCCCATGTTGAGAGATATCTTGCTTCATTCTCAATTTTCTATAAATGTCCAATCAAAAAATAATATATATTTTTTTAAGAAATAAAATCCATATTTAAAAGAGCAAACCAAAACCAATTGATATTCCCTAGGGAAGAAATTGCTTAATAAAAGTACAAATAGATGCATTTTTTGCTAATGAAGCCTTTACATGATT